CCACTCCTTCTCACTCCCCATCCTCCCACTTCCTTTTACTCTCTACCTTCCCACTCTTTCTCACTTCACACCTTTCCAATCTCCCTTCACTCCCCACCCTCTCACTTCCCTCTCCCTCACTCCCAGGCTCAATCTCCATCCTCCCACTCCTCCTCAGTCCCCACCCTCCCACACCTCCTTCACTCCTCACTTTCCACACTCCATTTCCCCCCACTTTCACTCCCTCCTTCCCTTTTTCCTCCCACTTGTTGCCCACTTCTTTTCTTAACCCCACTCCCATTTCTTCCCTCCACTCCTACTGGCCCTACACACAATCCCCAATCTTTACCCTTTCTTCCCCCATTTCTCCCCCACCACTCCTCTCTTGCTCTCCTTTCCCCCCACACACTTCCCCCTACTCTCCACTCTCCTCTCATTCCTTCCCTTCACCTTCTCTCTGTCTCTACTCTTCTTCCATCACTCCCCACCCTCCTCCCTCATTTCCCAGTCTCCCCTTTCCTCCTCACCTTCCCATTTCACACTCCTGCTCCCCCTCACTCCCCACACTCCTCACTCCCCACTCTCCCACTTCCCCATTCTCCCACTCAATTCCCTCTACTCTTTCTCACCTTTCCCCATGACTGTCACTCCACACCAGATTTTCCATTTTTTCTTTACCACCACCCCATGTTCTGCCCTCACTGTCTCTCTCCCTCTCTCTCCTCACTCTGTCCATCCCTCATTCTCCACCCTCCACCTCCCTCATTCATCACCCTCCCCCTTCTCTGCCACCCACTCCCTCACTGCCCACCTTCCCACTCCCCCTAATTCCCCATCTCCATTCTCCCACACCTCTACTTTCCATTTCCTAATCTTCCTCAGCCCTCTACAGCCCCTAATTCCTACTTCCTTCATCCCTCATCCCCCTCAACTCCTACTTCTCACCCCCAAAACCCCACCCCCTCTCCCATTCCTCGTTCACTACTGCACTCCCCTTTTCCTCCATCATTCACTCTCCCTCACTCTCCTCTCTCTCACTGTCCTCACTCTTCTCACTTACTCCCCACCCTCCCACTCCTCCACTCCTTTCATACTTTCCCACTCCCCACCCTCACACTCCCGTTTCTTTCCTTACCCCACACTCCCCACTATCCAACTCCCAATTTCCCAGCCCCCATTCTCACTATCTCTTTTATCCCCACCATCTATTTCTTCCTCATCCCCTTCTCTCCCATTTCTCTTTAACTCCCTCCTCCCTTTTTCCCCACTCCTCCATACTCCTCACCTTCCCACTCCCCTTCACTTCTCACCCTCCCACTCTCCTCTCACTCCCCACCACCCACTCTCTCACTCCCATGCCTTACTTCCCAAAACCCACTCTCAACCTTTCAGCCCTCTGATTCTTTGCCCTCCCATTCCTCACTTGTTCCCCACCCTTCTATCTCCCTCACCTTTCCTCCCAGCCCCCCCCCCCACGCGCGCACACACACACACACACACACACACACACACACACACACACAAACACTTTCTCTACTGCTCACTCCCTTCGTCTGACCACTTGGATAGGTTGGTGAAGGACTTCTTCAGTCTCTAGGCTAGGTTTATTTCAGGGAAAGTCACAGTTACTTGGGATGCTAGTGAGGGATATGGGAATGGAATTTCCCATGGTTTCACCAGGTTTAGAATTCTTATTTAGAGGCTCCAGATGCCCAAATCTATCTTTAGAGTCTCTGGCACTACATTCCTAGGCAGAAACCTCATCCACTCCCAAATTTAGCATCTTATATCAGGATTTCATCTGTTCATGAATAGGTTTGTACCAGTTTTAACATTTCTTCTCAGTTAATTTATGAGTATATGTTATTGAAAATCTTCCACTTGAATTATACCTAATATCCTAGTATTTGTCTTTACATTTTCCCAAATGAATCATTCTTGGGAATGTCCGTATGTGCTTTGCATCCCTTAAAGAGAACTTTCTCTAATGTTTTTCTTCCTTAACTTCTCCATAATCTTTTTTTTTTTTTTTTTT